GGTTTCATTGTTGTTTTCCAAATCTTTTGTATTATGTCAAACAAAGAAAATGGTAGAGTTTGGTACAAAGACAAGGAGAGGCTGTAACCCACAGCAGGAGCGGTGGCCATGCATTCCCCCTTCACCTTTTTGCCAGGGACACTGTTTGTGTGCAGGCAGAGAGGCCTCCCCGCTCCCCGAAAGCAGACTGACCCCACAGACAGACATTTCTCCCAGACCTCCTTTGAAGGAAGGTCTGCGAGTGACGCACATGCAGAATTAGCAAGAGATTTGTCAGCACCTTATAATTACAGCGTGCTTTCAGTTAGAATGACATTTTTTATTATGAGCCACTAAGGGCAGAATTAAAGTAAATCTCCATGAAAATGGACTGCATATGGGCATAGTAAGATCTGTCAGGAGAGAGAAGGGGGAGAGGGGGCAACACACACTCAGAGTTTTGTTGGTTTTTAAAGTCTTTTCTGCTATGTCATGGCGAAGAAAATGATGCAGAGTTTAGCTAAAGACAAGAAGATGCCATAATCCACAGCAGGAGTGGTGGTTAGGCATTGCCCCCCCTTCACCTTTTGCCAGGGACGTTGTTCTTGCACAGGCAGAGATATCGTCTCTCCTCCCCGAAAACAGACTGACCCCAGACAGACATTTGAAGGAAGGCTACAAGTGATGCACGTGCAGAGGTTTGTCAGCACCTTACAATTACAGTGTGCTTTCAGTCAGAATGGCTTTTTTTATTATTATTATTATAAGCAACTAAGGACAGAATTAAAGTAAGTCTCCAAGAACATGCATCGAGTATGGGGTGGAGGGTGCCTTCTGCTGAAACCTGCCTCTTTTGTGGGTTGCAAAGGTACCATTGCCCTCAGAGGAGTGCCAAACTCCAATAAGGCTGAAAATCAATACACAAGAACAAAACAGTTAAATTAATTGCTACAATGTACACAGTTCTCTGGCCAAAATACAGTACAAAAAGTGAAACTACTCTTATTCCTCTGATTTCTTTCTAGAATAATTTAAAAACCCCATTCCTGTCCATGCCACTCTGAAAGGACTGCCTTTCAAGAGAGAGTAACAGAAAATCCACAGCGGCATTGTCTTTAAGTTAAGCACACGACACAGAGCTGAGGGTGTTTTTCCTTGTCCTAATAAAGCTGAGTTCAGTATTTAGTTTGCTTCCAGTTTCCCCCACCCCGACTCAGACGACCAGAGTGCACGCACCTCCCCAAGCAACATTTCCTTTGACCAAAACAGAGAAGGTGTTTCTGAAGTTAACCGTCAGAGGGACCAGCAAGAACCACTTTGGCTGTTCTACCTGTGATGTTGAAAGGGATCATAGAATCACAGAATCATAGAATCATAGAATATTTTGGGTTGGAAGGGACCCCTAGAGGTCATCTAGTCCAACCCCCCTGCAGTGAGCAGGATGTTGAAATGGGTTTCAAGTAGTGAACTGCAACATGAGAAACTCCAGCAACATTAAGAAAACCACATTTTTAAAGAATTATTTCAAAATAGAGCCCCAAAAGCACCACCGAGGATAACTCTTCTGTAATAATTGGAGAGAGAAATTTTGCACGCAAAATGGAGACAGTGTCCTCCTAAAGAAACTTTTCTGCAAGATTTAGAAACAACTGCTGTGAGCTAGACTAAGTGTTTTGGTGCCACATCCCTCCTCTCCAGTAACACCTGAGTTACAGCAGAACTCCCCATCACTTCATTTCATTCTAATCTATAAAAATAAATGTATTAGACACATTGGACAGGACAAAACAGTGTTGCCAGGTGCTTCTGGATACGAAAAGCAGAGAGTGGGAGCTTTAATGAAGTTAGCTCTTGGTCATAGGAGGTGATAAATGCAGAAGAAAATATCCTCTTGTTAATGTTTGTGGTTACCATTTTCACAGGTTTAAAGAAAGTGGTTGTTTTTCTGTCTTGCACCTTTAGTCAGTCAATTACAGCAGCGAAGTCAGTAAGTAACACACTGGCATTCTGTTTTAATAGCCTTTGATTTGCACAGGAGTGACAAGACAAGGCACAGGACAAAAAAAAAACAAACAGGCCTTAACTCTTAATTTCTTTTCCTTTAAACTCAGCTGCCCTTCTCTTTTACTTTTGGTGGAGGAAAATTTAGCCGAAGTTAAATGAGCTCAAATACAATAAATTGTGTATACAAACACTTCAAGGATTCTGAAACTTGCTGGCATAGACCATGGCAAATAAAGATCTCGAAGCCTTCATCTGAGATTCATCAAACTTTCTAGAGCTACAGTGCACAACTCCTGTCTTGAATGGTCCCATTAAATGGCTCATGCGGTGGCTCCACTATAGTTGCCTTACATGATGCTACCAGTGCAAAAAGTCCATAAAAGCAGAATATCCAAAAACTGCATGGAAATCCTCAATGGGCATAGAGCAGCACATCACAGTCCTCCTCAGGGTCTCTGTTGAAAGGCTGATACCTGGAGGAGAGGGATTTGCAACTGCCTTGTTTCTTCATGCAGAAGAAAGCTGTTGAGTACTGGCATACATTTGCCTTTCTGGTATGGCACATCCCTTTCTTCAGCAGGGATTTCTGAAGTCCTTGGGAGGTGCAGAGTTCTCACAGCTCTCCTGTCCCACCACCAGCACTGTAAGCAGCCATGGTGAAAATTAGAGCAGTTGAGAAGCTGCTCTAGATCGCGCTGCTGAGTGAATGGATGCTGGCCATCTCCAGAGATGCGAGGCTATCTAACTTGCAAGCCATCAGCAGGGAGCTCTTCTTGCACCAACCTTCTTCCATGCCCACGTACTTCCATGTTTGATGTTAGGCCCAGGTCTTTCATTAAGTCTCATTGTAAGTGATCACTTTTCAAAACACTGTGAAGATCATCCTTTCTTAGCAGTTAGTACAAGGGTGAATCAATGCAAAATACTTTCTTTTGCACCCACATGGAAACTCATTTCTCTCAACCTGATATTACTCTGTTCCTCAAGAATATCAGGCTTCTCTCCCAGCTGACACTTCAATAGCAGATGCAGCAGTTCCGCATTTCCCAAGAACTTCTTAAAAATTTGCGGTACCCAAAACTAGATACCTACACAGAAATCATGGCTAATAGAAAAAAGAAGTTTGAGCCCATCCCTGACACACTAATGTGGCTGTGGGATCTTTTGGATACATTCATTTTCTTCAGTATTAAGATTAACGAAAACATGAATCATTCAGGTCTGTCTACCACACAGTGCTGGTAATATTAGATAGCATGTTTACAAAGTTTTCACGGTTATGTGAGTCAATCCAATGCACACTTGCCTAGATATAAAAATAAATGTTATATAATGCACAGATCACAGAATCAATACGCTGGTTGTGTGCACCAGATAGAAGAAAATAGCACTGGAACTCCTATGCAACAACTGTCCTAAGAAGCAGAAGAAGCTGCAGTTCTAAATCAGAGTAATTTGACCCAAAATTTAGTCTAGGTGTTTTATGAGTATGAGTAGCAATAAAGGCAGTGGAATGACAAATACAGCAACCCTGTTGGTTTGTTCATGAACAAAAAAAATAATTAGGCAGAGTCATAAATGTTCAGCATCTTCAGACACTGTGCCTAGGCTGAAAAAGGAAATGTTTATCTTCTAGACTGACACAAACTGATGAAATAACACTTTTAGTAATGATGCCAAGAGGGGGAGAGATTAAGATACAGAGTTCAGAAGTGAGCATGTTGCAACTTAACCTGTGGAGGGGCTACCACCTTCCCATTAGAGAAAGAAATTTGAAAAGTAGCATTGGCCTGGCAGTTTCACCTTTAAAATGCTATATGCACATCAACAGATGACTGCATGAAGATATTTTAATGAAACATGCATTTCTAGCTCCAGGTTTTTTTCAGCAGGTTTAATGTTTGCATCTTGTTAATGACTGCAAAACAAGTTTTCCATAAAGCAGAGGAATAAACAGGTACTTCCTCCCACACCACTAAAAAAGCTCATATCCATCATTATTAGATGAGATTATGACCCAATTACACTAGTACAAATCAGGAACAACTTCCCTGATTTCACAACTGCAAGGAAGTAGAATCTCTATCATCTTAAAGGTATTCAAGGGGAATGGAATTTGTATTGATTGATTATTACCAGTTATGCCTATATTTTAACTTGGTTTTCATCTAAAAATGAAAACAGGATGTAAGCTTGCTTTGTTTCTAAGATCTATAGGGATTTATATAACGTAGCCCAGTGAGATATGCGGTTTTAGCAGAGCAGCCTGCTCAGGGAATCCTCAGATTTTAACTTTTGCACAGCAAGTCTCTTGGAAAAACACACAGACACCTGTCGCTTTGAGAAGCCTCACTTTTCCCTAAGACAGTGAACACAAACAATAAACTCCACTCCTCAAACAACTACAGCAACCAGTCCTAATTTCTCCTCCCATCTT